TACTTTTACCAGCTATCAAGGAATAAGGCCAGCCCACACTGAGTTGTGTTCATACCCTCCCGTTTGTATATTATTTGAAATGACTCTTCAGATGAAGAGGCATCTCATTATTACCATTAGTAATCCTACTTAAAGCATCCTTTGACAGGTTGAATCTCTGTGCTATTGGAATATGGGGCTCATCATCCTTTTATCCATTATTTACAGCTTGTTGTGCATGTGTTAACAAATAGATTAAGGCAGCCCAGCTAACAGCCCAGCATGAACTTTGCCACCAAAAAATTTGCTGAGATTAAATGTATTGTGTTTCTAGTGCTATTATGGGAAAAGACATGGAGTATTTACTACAAAAGGGGCCTTGCTCTGTGTTGACTATATACATGCAGGGTGGATATTATTATTCTTTTCTCAAACTGACCAGAAAAGAGCAGAACCATTTCTTCCTTGGGTGACTCTCAAGAGGCTTTTGAAATCCAGAGATTCATAATATTTAGCAGAATACTCCTCTATCTCTTCTTTGGTTTTAACATTTCAGTTACTTTACTGCTTTGGAGTCTGGGTATTTCTACTCCAAGTCATCCTTCATGAGCGTGCCATCATTCTGAGATGATCTTCTGAAACCTTCTGTCCAAGTGGCCAGCCATGACCTTCTGAGGTGACATGGGTGATTGCTGCAGAATGGGCCTTTTTGGTGGTGGCACCCTCTCTCCAGTAATCAAGGTAAGCACCAGGGGAGTCTGATGTTTCTTAACAAGAGCACTGACATAGGAAAAGGCCCTTCCTGTCTGGACTCACAGGGCCATAGCCCTCACTGGCTGTACTCCTCACCCTTCTCAAGTGCTTCTTGTGGTTTAGGGCACTCGTATTTACGGGACCGCTAACAATTGATTAAAATACAACTTTAAGAAAAGATTAAAATACAACATTAAAATGCAGCCTCATGTCAGTAGAAACTCAAATCAAAAAACTTTTTGGGGATGAAAACTTCAAATCTTCACCAAGGCCAACTATCCAGACTGGTCCTACGTTGGCCAGAAAAAAGCCAGGGAAGTCCCCAAATAGAAGTTCCATCACAGAAGGAGAAAGGAAAAGGGAAGAGGGGGAGGGGATCCAGTTGATTCCAAGCCAAAGGCCAGGCGGAACAACTCTGTCTTACAGGCCCTGCAGAAAGAAATCAGATCCTGCAGGGCCCTGGTCTCATGAGACAGAGAGTTCCACCAGGCCGGAGCCAGAGTTGAAAAGGCCCTGGCTCTGGTTGAAGCTAATGATTAATGTGTCATGCTTAGTGACATCAGCTCAGCCCGTCCCCTGTGACATCACCAGGCCCCACCCCCATGGCATCCTTGGGGTCCACTCTAGGTCTCTGGTTTGAAATAAAAGGCTCTGGGTTGCTCCTGACTTGATGACCCTAATTGTAGCAATGCCTATTGTTTTCTTCGATGAGGGATCATGGCGTATGTGTGTAAAAACCTCTGAGCTTTGCATGGTTGCAAAACTGTACAAGGGTAAGAGTCACCTTTTGGCCACACCCACTGTTGCCACTGGGCCCACCCACCACTGGCGTGCAGGTACCAGAAAGTTACTCACAAGGGAATGTAAAAAGTAACACATACACCTTGCTTTAAGCACAGAAAACACCAAGACTTTAGCAACTAATCTTAGCATTGACCGGGATGCCCCTTGGGCATTTAAACATGCTGGCATAATCCATTTTGCTCAGCAAGGAAGAGCATGTAAGCAGCATCTGGGAGTAGCAGAAGCGGATGGTGGCTTGGCTGGCAAAGAGGCCCGGCAAAGAAGCATGGGCATCTGAGCACTTTTTGCGTGATGCGTCTTGCCAAACCTCTCAGACCAAATGGCTTTCTGCAAGAAAGAAGGAAAACTATGCTTGGAATCTAGGAAACTGCTCAGCTGCACATTGTTCCCTGGGCATTCATATATATATCTAGGGATTCCTTTAGGAGCGCCTTTCCCCAGATTGCCCTCTGAAATTATCAGCCTTTTCTGGCTTGCACAACTTTATATACAGGAGTAGCTGTATCTCTGTGCATTTCGGTGAGTCTCTGCATGCTTAAATGTTCTCTTAAGAAAACAAGAATATCCCTGCCCATACAAAAATTAGCATGCCAAGGAGAAATCTTGGCTGAAACCATATTCCTAGCATGCTAGATTTCAAAAAGCAGGGATTTTAAAATATATATATTAATAATGATAAACCTATGGTGCCCTGACTCCGAGGCTATAACTGTACTAGTCTTGAAATTGTGTGTGTGTTTAATTGTTAATGTTTCTTATTGTTAAATGGCTTTGGGATTATAGAATCATAGAATTGTGGAGTTGGAAGGGACCGTTAGGATCCTCTAGTCCAACCCCCTGCAATGCTGGAATATGCAGTTGTCCTATACAAGGATCAAACCTGCAACCTTGGCATTATCAGTACCACAGTCTAACCAACTGAGTTATCTCGGCTGACAGAGGGACACAGGTGGTGCTGTGATCAAAACCACAGAGCCTCGTGGGCTTGCTGATTGTAAGGTCGGAAGTTTGAATCCCCGCGATGGGGTGAGCTCCCGTTGCTCTGTCCCAGTTCCTGCCAACCTAGCAGTTCGAAAGCACACCAGTGCAAGTAGATAAATAGGTACCACTGTGGCGGGAAGGTAAATAGCGTTTCTGTGCACTCTGGTTTCCGTCACAGTTTAGTCATACTGGCCACATGACCCAGAAAGCTGTTTGCAGACACCGGCTCCCTTGGCCTGAAAGCGGGCATAAGAGCCGCACTCCATAGTCAAATTTGACTGGACTTAACCATACAGGAAGGGATGCGGGTGGCGCTGTGGGTTAAAACACAGAGCCTAGGACTTGCCGATCAGAAGGTCGGCAGTTCGAATCCCCGCGATGGGGTAAGCCCCTGTTGCTGGGTCCCTGCTCCTGCCAACCTAGCAGTTCGAAAGCACGTCAAAGTGCAAGTAGATAAATAGGTACCGCTCCAGGGGGAAGGTAAACGGCGTTTCCGTGTGCTGCTCTGCTTCGCCAGAAGTGGCTTAGTCATGCTGGCCACATGACCTGGAAGCTGTACGCCGGCTCCCTCTGCCAATAAAGCGAGATGAGTGCCGCAACCCCAGAGTCGGCCACGACTGGACCTAATGGTCAGGGGTCCCTTTACCTTTTAACCATCCAAGAGTCCTTTACCTTTTTCCTTCGCCCAGGTACCTTACTTTTGCCTAACACCTTAATAATACAGTGGTGCCCCGCAAGACGAATGCCTCGCAAGACGGAAAAACCGCTAGACGAAAGGGTTTTCCGTTTTGAAGTTGCTTCGCAGGACGAATTCCCCTATGGGCTTGCTTCGCAAGACGAAAATACCTTACGAGTCTTGAGGTTTTTTTCGCTACCCCCCCCTTTATCTAATCTGCTAAGCCTTTAATAGCCTTTAATAGCCTTTTAGCAGCTAATCCCCTAAGCCTTTAAGCTTTTAATAGCCGCTAAACCGCTAATAGCGCTAATAGCGCTAATCCGTCAATGGGCTTGCTTCGCAAGACGAAAAAACCGCTAGACGAAGACTCTCGCGGAACGGATTAATTTCGTCTTGCGAGGCACCACTGTAAATGAATAAATATAGCCTAAAGCAGAACAGTTGATTCTGTAGAATGCAGAAAATGAACTCATTTTTAAAAGACTTTTTCAACTCTTAAAAGAGGGAGGAAGGAGAAAGCAAACAACTATCTTTGAACTTTTGAGTTCATAGTGTTTAAATGCACTCAGCACAGGTAAAGTAGCACAAATACACACAAACACCCACTGCGACCTCAGCGCTCCTTTCTTCAATGCTTGGGAAAGCAAGCCTCTGGCACTGCTGTGAACTGATAATTTTTACCTATGTATTCACATGTGCTGGCTCTATTCAGGATTAAATAATGCATAACTCAGAAATGTATTATTTACATCAGGGAACTTGAATTGACTAATAGAACCTGACATGATGTTCTGTATCAGATAATACATTTGTCAAAAAATCATTTTTTTTATATATAATTAGAGCTGAGCCAGAAACAGTGATGTGATCTTTCATGCACATCCCACCCATCCCCATGAAATAAACCACGCCAAAGAGAGGCTGAAAACAAGGGGTTGGGGGAAATGTTGGCAGTTTCATCCTTGACACCCATTCTGAGTGATGGCAGTCATTCCTTCCCTCAGTCTGAATGGACTTCGTTCAATTTAACACTCCTTTTTTATTTAACACCTTGAATAAAGTTGCGTGTCATGTTTTGATATTGTATTTTACATTTTTTTGTAACATTCTGAAAAGCGCAAATGAAATGGGTTGCATCCAAGGATGCGCAAAGGAAGGGGTTTTGGTTTTTTGCAAGCTACCTGGTTGGTGAAATCTGGCTTGCAGCCTAAGTCATTCTGTTGTGTTTTTGCTTTTTTCTTCTCTCGCCAAAGCCTAGTAGAAGCCATTCAAATGGTTCAGAGCCCATTCTGCCATATGAGGGTCATTTAAATTTAAGAACAATTGGGTTAATGCTTGCATCCAGCTGCCTCTGCCTACTCTCTGGATTACTGTACACTATCTCATTGTTGCCTAAATGTGTGGACAGAACAGAGTGCTGCTTCCACTCTGCCCCTTGTATGAGGTTGTTTGTTTGTTTCAAACCCCCTGCTGCCATCAATGGTGTAGCCTGTGTGGGGAGGAGGGTCGCACAGGGGCAGTTGCCCTGGTCGCAAAATTGTTAGGTGCAAAATTTCAACACCTGGTGCTGCCTCAATACAGCTGTGTACTTCCATGCCTGGGCTCCTGAAAAATACTCAGAGTCTCTGCTGTGGCCTCATCCACCGGCAACTGCTGATAGGCTTGGGCCAAGTCCAGCTTGCCAAAATTTTATGACCCAGCCGGGGTGGCAAGGACATGGCTGACCACTGGCACTGGGTATGCATGGGTCGTGAGGGCCTTGTTTATGGTACATTTGTAGTATACATTATTTAAACAATGGGCCCCGTGTGATTGGCTAATTCCGGGCTGCTCCTGTAGGCCAATCAGGTTGCAGATTCACCTCCTCCAGAAGCCTGATTGGCTGCTCCTGCAGGCCAATCAGGTTGCTGATTCACTTCATCCAGGAGCCTGATTGGCTGCTCCTGCAGGCCAATCAGGTCGCTGATTCACTTCCACCTGGCGCTGGATTGGGTGGCTCCTGCGGACCAATCAGACTGCTGCATTCTGGATCCTATTGTTCTAGGATTCAGATCAGTACATAGCAACTCCATTGAAGATGGCTTCTCCATGAGAACCAGAAAATGACCTCTCCAGTCCAGACAAAGGAGCAACACTTCTTGTCTTACCTTCCTCCTGGGTGACACAGACCCCGTTAGGCAGTTGAATGCACATGCATACTGCATCCATTTCCCCCCTCCCAACCCTTCTTCATGTGGCCCCAGCCTCTGGCAACCCATGCTACGCCACTGGCTGCCAGCAAATTCAGGAAGGGCACATAACTTTCTCAACGATGGCAATTCAGGTGGTGGGGGTGTATGTGTGCGTGTATTTGTGCAGAGTAGATAATGATTTACCATCTATTTGATAACCCCACACAACGCCACACAAACTTACTGTAAATGTTTAACTGGCAGATCTACCCACCCTCCTACTTTTGGAGCTACTGTGGAATCTCCTCTCTGCGCCCTCATTTGCCTCTACTGCCTACCAACACCTGTAACTCAATCCAGTTTTGCTGACCCGTGTATTTAAGGGGCCGTGCTGATCAAAAAGAGGGCTTATTTGTCACTTTTGAACTACGCTGCTTCAGTCTATTTATCTTAACTCAATTGTTCCTTTTTCACTCCCCTCTTCCCGCATAAGATGCTTTTTTGATTTACTGTGCAATTCCTAATTTACTGTGTTTGACTGGCCACCGGTAATTTCACTGTAAGCTTTCTGGGTATGATATACTGGGAGAGGAGACTGCCTTACAATTTAGTGAGGTTTTGCTCCTCATAAATATCCCAAACAAACAGATAGACAAACCAATAAAGAAGATGTGAGGTTAACCTAACTCGGTAAATAGATTCACAAACACAAAACATCTTGTATTAAATCCTGAGAACTGGGCACTTAATGCATATCATGCAAATAGGAAATGTTTTTTGGGTTTTTTTAAAACTACAAAGCATGCAACATTTTGTTTATGCCTTTTTTTAAAAAAAAAGCAATTGGAATTTGTTACATTTTGGAGGAGTGGGAAGACATTTAGAAAACCCACAAACCCCTAGATATGTCTTTTTATGGCATTTGCATCAAAGCGGTTCCAATCTTTCTGAATGGATGGCTGGATGGATCAATACATTCTGGGTCAAGCTAGCCTGTTAACTGATCAGAAATAATTTATGGGATGGATTTTCTGTTGGCCTCTTGCTTCAGCTGCAACAAGTCTGGGAGAGAGACATCATTTACTCTCTTTTGTTGGACATTTGGAATAAAACATCCCAGCGAGAAACAGAGGAAGTGACAATAGACCATGGGCCCATCAAACTCAGTAATGTATCCACTGACTGGGAGTGGACCTCCAGGATTTCTGGTTACCCAAGGCTTTCTGCATGCAAAGCAGATGATTTTCCACTGAGCTGCAGCCCTTCTCATGTACCAATGTAGACCATTGATTCATCTAGCTCAGTTGTGTTCAAACTGGCTAGCAGATTGTGTCCTCCTCCCAGAGAGCACGTGTTGTGGTGAGATCATCAGGACTGACCTCACTGCTTGTGTGGGTGGGAGCGATTGGATAGCCACAACAACCCAATTGCTAGTCCCTCGGTTGCTGGGGTATTTCTGCCCATTGGGCCATTGGGCTTGTTCATGAAAGACCTACATTGGCTCCCAGTACGTTTCCGAGCACAATTCAAAGTGTTGGTGTTGACCTTTAAAGCCCTAAATGGCCTCGGGCCAGTATACCTGAAGGAGCGTCTCTGCCCCCATCGTTCTGCCTGGATGCTGAGGTCCAGCGCCGAGGTTCCCTCATTGTGAGAAGCAAAGTTACAGGGAACCAGGCAGAGGGTCTTCTCGGTAGTGGCGCCCGCCCTGTGGAATGCCCTCCCTTCAGATGTCAAAGAGATAAACAACTACCTGACATTTAGAAGACATCTGAAGGCAGCACTGTTTAGGGAAGTAGTTAATGTGTGACATTTTAATGTATTTTTAAACTTTGTTGTAAGCCGTCCAGAACATGCCAGTCGGGCATGTGTCTCTGCCAGGGTCCTACTCGAGTGTAGGCTGAACTCCTGACAAAGACATGTAATGATGGCACCATGTGAGCTGCTCTGGGGAGCCACCACAGAAAAGGCCTCTTTTCATGTTGCCACCCTCCGAATCTTGGAGAGGGAAGGACACATCGAGAAGGGCCTCAGATGACAAGCACAGGGTCTGGGTTGGTTTATATGGGGAGAGGCGATCCTTAAGGTATTGAGGTCCTGAGCTGTGTGAGGCTCTATAAGTCAACACCAGCACTTTGAATTGGGCCCAGAAAAAGTAATTGGCAGCTGGTGCAGTCCATATGAAACAGCTTTCTATCCAACCTACTGTTTCAGTTTTCTCAGTGCCCCTGTTGCACTGATGCCCCTGAGACATTTGGAGTAATTCAAACGGCAGATAGATCCACAGGTTTGACAGAGTTTGAAATGCTGTGCCAGATGTTTCATTTAATTTTGGTTCCCCGCCCCCCTCAATAAGTCCAGGTTAGGTATTTGTGGTGGGGTCCCATCAGCTGCCCAAGGATTCCATTTGCTGGTTCTGACCCCACAGCTAGCTGGAAACGCTTTTCAGACCCTTGTGCTTTTGCCTCCATGCAAGTATTTGGAAAACTTGTTTTGAATGAAGATGAAGCAGCCGACAGATGTCACTGGCATTTATTTTTGGTATCCCCCTAGCCAGAAGATGAAAAGCAACAGCTGCAAACTAGAAAAGTGCTAAGCCTCTGTAACACCAGCCAACAATATTTCACCTTTTTAGATATATCATGGGTGAAAGGGCAAAAAATAAAACTAAACAAAAAAATCTGTTTTCACCTGCAGCTTCAGAGACATCAGGGGATACAGAAGGCAATGCCACTTCTTTCAATTAGGTGTGATTTATTTCACCTTGCAGAATAAATACAGAGATCTTTCTATGTGTAGAACCTATGCAGACCTGATCCATATGTTACAAATTCAGTGAGACTGTCACCTCCCCAAAACAAACACATATAGGTCCACAAAACAAAACCTGTCACCAAGGTTGCCTTTACATTAGTCCTAACTCGCTCTTCCTCCATGCGATTAGGCTCCTGTGAAGTGAGACCGAGATGATCTCATTGTCTCCATCTCCCCCATTGCACCCTGCTCACCTCTCTCTGCCGTCCTGTCCTTGGGGCTGGCCCTACTATTAGGCAGAGTGAGGCAAGCACCTCACACGGCTGATGTGGTACATTCTTCTATCGGCCTTGAATCTCCCAACATTCATAGAGGTCCATGATTCCTAGTGTTTTGAAAGAGGGAGAAGTCCCTTTCTCTATGCCATCCATCGTTTTATACACCTCTATCTTGTCACCTCTTGCATGCCCCTTTCTCTAAACTCAAAAGCCCCCAACGCTGCAACTTTTCTTTATAGGGGAGTCACTCCACTCCTTGATCATTTCGGCTGTCCTCTTCCCAACCTTTCCCAACTATCATATCCTTTTGGTGACACCCCCCAGGCCACATACACTTTCCTCAGACTATATGCAGCCTCAGCCCAGTATACCTGAAGGAGCGTCTCCATCCCCATTCTTCTACCCAGACACTGAGATCCAGTGCCAAGGGCCTTCTGCTGGTTCCCTCACTGCGAGAAGCGAAGTTACAGGGAACCAGGCAGAGGGCCTTCTCTGTGGTGGCACCCGCCCTGTGGAATGCCCTTCCATCAGATGTCAAAGAAATAAACAACTATCTGACGTTTAGAAGACATCTGAAGGCAGCCCTGTTTAGGGAAGTTTTTAATGACTGATGTTTTATGTTGGAAGCTGCCCAGAGTGGCCAGGTTGGCAAAACCTACTGGTGTTTTGCAACTTTCTGACTAGTTGCAGGACCTTAGCCAGACCTAGCAGAGTAAATGCAGAATCCATGGAAGCAATTGGCGACTTGGCTGCAGACAGGATAGATGAAGCAGGAACCGGGAACTTGTAGTTAGGTGTTTATTATATACACTGGACTATTTACAGGAACAGAACAAGGATCTTATGCTAGCTCTCTCTGATACGACTCACAACTCCTATACTGACACAGATCTCTAAACCTCCCGAACTCTGAACTAACACATTCCAGTTAGTAGGCCATTAATTATCACTCCCTTGAGAGAGCTTGACCAATCAGGGAGCAGTCTCCATGTCTCTGTTTTCACCAGGCAGACTTACTCCTTCAGATTGCCTTCTGGCTGTCTGCCAAACCTTAATTGACTCTGTGTGAGTAGCTGCACGTACATAGTTTCCCAACAGAGCAGGGTATAAAATTGTTGTTGTTGTTGTTGTTGTTGTTGTTGTTGTTGTTGTTGCTGTTATTACAAAATGGCCCTGCTCTGCAATCTTCAAGTGATTTCCCCAGGCTAGAATGCCTTCTTGAACTGTGGCAGGGCCTCTTTCTTGCCTGAAGAGAAAGGGAGAAACCTTTCGTGTGTGCTTACTTCACCAATGTGGTTTGCATTCATCGTCACAGCCACTTTTTGACTCTTGCCCCACTCTCCGTTGACATGTGGCCCCTGGGAGGTCACTCAGATGTATATGTGGTCCCCAGGCTCTTTAAAAAAGGTATCCCCATGCATTTTAAGCCTCTGTTTTCTGAGCCATGCATTTTTCCCCCTCCCATAAACACATCTTCCTCTGCCTTTTTCCCCCTCCCCTGGCAGCTGGCTTCGCTTGTCTGTCTCACTGCACTCCAGGGATGTCCTTGGGCTTCTCAGGAATAGGTTCAGCCAGGTAAGAAAGCAGGAACATTATTTATTTGTCAGAAAAAGAGAGTGACTCCAGAATATTCTGGCCTATCTCATCCGTCTCACACCAACAAATTACCCATCATTGTAACAGGAAAGGGGTGGTGGTGGAAAGGATACAAAGATTCCTAGGGGAGTACAGGAATATACACAGGATATAGCAAGGCTTAAACCCCTGGACAAGATACTCAATAAGTGATGGCTAGGTCCATCCACAATATCAGGGGTAGAATCAGCTCTACTGCAATGCAAAGATTGCGGTTTTGTGTGTTTCCTCTTACAACTTTTGTACTTTTCCGGGAGGAATGCTCAAGCAGAGATACTGATGTGGAATAGAATGTCCCTATTTTCACCTGAGGAATATTGGAAGGGATGGTGTCAGCTTCTTCCCCCCGCGCCTCAGTTTTGCCCTTACAGACCTCAGCAAGGAGGTGAATTGGGACAAAGCTAGAATTAGACGGTTCTGCTGGTCATTGTCTGTTGCTCCACTTACTGTTGTCTTCTCGGCCCTCCACCCTACCAGTCTGAATGAGCACCAGCTGCCACTGATTGCAACTGATGGCTAAACACAGAGAATCGTATAATTGTACAGTTGGGAGGGACCACAAGGGTCATCTAGTCCAACCCCCTGCAATGCAGGAAGCATTCACCCAACATGAAACTCGAACCCATGACTCGGAGGTTAAGACTCTCATGCTCTACCGACTGAGCTAAGATGATCACAGCTCTTTTATATTCAGGCACAGCGAATTTAACTGACTACTAAAAACAACCAAGACTCCAACCATTGCCTTTCTCTATTCCCTCAATGAATGAGAATCCCTGCTGCAGGCCTGTGTTGGGAGCACTGTCAGAGGAATGTGTATATTACACATTATAGGATATGATAGCCTATTCACCTGGTTCCAACATTAGTATCCTTTTGTTGCCAGCTTAAAACTTTACTCTCAGGCATTTGATGATATGTAATGTGCTGCTTTTACTGATCATTGGTTTTTATTCATTTGTGTGTTCAGACCCAGAGACCTCCCCCCTAAATAAATTCACACTTGACTCAAATTTTAGTTTTAGTTTTTGGCAGATTTTAGGCCACAACTTTATTGATTACAGAAAGTGAATTGTTGCATAGGCTCTGGTTCGACTAGCTCCCTGTCATGCAGGTAGCACTGACCCAGGGTTCCAGCATAGGTCAGCCAAGGGTAAACACACGGATAAGCGGAAAGCCAGGAACAGGCTATCTCCGCCACCCAAATGTCCCCCTGGACTCCGGTACAGGCACAAGCCCCTCACAAGGGTTGACCAAACCATTGAGTCCCTGGATTCCTTTAACGGAATACCCTTCACATAGAGGTGGCAAGAGCGTTCTCCCATCCCTATCACCTGAACCAGAGCCTATCCGTAACCTTACAAGTTGTGACAATTTGCTACACGGCAGGCGAAACCCAAATGGCAACAGCCAATCAACCAAGTGGGAAAATTCCTGTCATGCCCCTGTCCCAATGACAGACGACACACGACGGCATAGCAAGGTCAAGTGCACAAGCCCTAAAAATAGGGAGAGGTGGGCGGTTGTTCCGATGCACGAGTCGAAAAAGGAAGCTCTGGGTCACGTGCATGGGTATAAAAAGGTTCCTCGATCCCTTTGGACTCTGCGCCATTGGCCCGATTGAACCCAGCATCGAGGGACCTCCAATCGGGTGTTGTGGCTGACCAATCGTACCCACCCACAACATAGGGTGTCGGTTTCCCGGTCTCACCGCAATACGTCCCCTCTTTAAGGGAGGACCCGATTTGTTAACTGTATATTTTGCCTACCTTGATCTTGTTATTTTTTTGTTAATTTTTGCATTCTTCTACTGTTATAGGCATTCACTGTTGCTTTGTTGCTTTGTACATTCTATATATTTTTATATTTCCGTAAGTTACCTTGTGTCATTTTTGAGAAAGGCGACTGAGGCTGCAATCCTAAACCCCCACCCCCTTACTCAGGAATAAGCCCCACTGCATTCAATAGGATTTGCTTCCAAGTAGGTATGGTTAGGCTTGTGCTGTAAGATGTTTAATAAACAATAATAGATGATACGTTAAGTTACCAACACCTGAATCCAGTTGTCAAGGCTCAGCAGAGAACCCATCAAAAAGCTGTTAACACAAACTGTGTGAGTTGTCGGGGGTTTCATAGCTCTATGATGGCCATGAAATTCTTGCCTTTCCCCCCTTGTCAGTGACCAGGTATTCAGCTGAAAGTGCCTGAGCCATTCGTATAACAAGACTCCTTTCGCACCAAGCGATTTGACACACTGTTATGAAGAGGTAAGCACAAGAAGGAGACGGCTGGAAGCTATGCGCCACCTTTTTTCACACACAACTTCCCACCTCCGTGTACAACAAAAGGTGGCAGACACAGAAGAACACCTGAGTACCATAATTTGTCGTCTTTGGTTATTCTTTTTTCGGAGCTGACAATATTTTGATCTGAGAAAAACTATTACTGCTGGTGACAAATTGTCAGGGCTTTGTTGGGGCACACCAGCCGACATCCATAGACCTGCCCCTCATGTTTTTTCCGCAGCCTGGAGTACCATATAGTACTTGAAACATATTCAGTTGTAGTACTTTGTACCATGGGGTTTGGATGGCCAAATATGAAAATGAGAAGAAGCTAGATACTTGGCTGCCCAGAAGAATCCCAGTCAATGGAGATAGTGGATTCCTTCCCTTTCTTCTTCCACTTGAACCAAATATCGGAAGGGCTGTCCCATGAAGGATGGAGTAAGCTTGTTTTCTCTTGCTCTGGGAGGTAGGACTCAAACCAATGGCTTCAAGTTGCAGGAAAGGAGATGGAAAAACATTCTGATAGTAAGAGCTGTTCGACAGTGGAACAGTCTCCCTTGGGAGATTGTGGACTCTCCTTCCTCAGGGGCTTTTAAGCTGAGGTTGGATGGCCATCTGTCATGGATGCTTTAGCCGAGATTCCTGCAATGCTAGGGGTTGGACTAACTGACCCTTGTGGTCCCTTCCAAGTCTAAGATTCTATGATTCTAAGTCCTCCAAATATAGGTAATTGATATTATGGATCATCTCTCTGAAGATTTTGCAGCCTGTGGACTTACCAACCCTGAAGAGTTGATGTTTGTTTTTTAATTTCTTTTCATTTTTCACTTCTTCTTTTTTTTTTTTACTTTTTATACTGTTATTGTTTGGTTTTATGTTTTTATATTCTTTTTGTTTGTTAATATTGATTAAAAATATGCATGTCTATACAGACATTATGTACTATCTCTTAACAGGTAGAAATTATATAAAATTCAAAATTTATAAAGAAAGAAAGAAAAATAAAGAAGTAACAAAGATAAGAAACAAAGAAATAAAAAAAGACAAAGTTATTTACATAGTAAAAGTATTCATCGACATGATCCTTCCCATCCTTCTCACTATACTGTTTGATATAATATTCTTTTTTACACAGGTTAACATTCTTTTTTACACAGGTATGTTTTTATATTGTTCTAAACCACAGTGATATATTTTTATAAGACAGCTGTATAGAAATATTTTATAAAATAAATAAATAAGCGAATGATTGATTGATTGATTGATTGATTGATTGACTTTAGAGACTGCGAAAGGACCCATGGCAAACTGACTCCACTCAGCCCACGCAAATTCATATTCCCCGCGAGGTTTCCATTCATTCTCAGGAAGTAAATATTTGTTGTTTCCCTCAGAAGCGCATGTTGCAATGATCTCTGCAGAGAAACATCACTAAGCTTCAAATTGCTCTGCTCAAATTCCCAGCTGGCCGCTTAAAACGCAGATAAGACTTAATGGTTGAGATTTAAGCAATGGAAGATATTTTTAATGCTTTTGTACATAATGACATCTCAAGAGTCTTGCTAATGCCTAGGGAGGAGCAGATTCTTCCCACACCCCATTCATGCCTTTATTTATTTTTTTCCCTTTGGTTTGTTCTGCCTTGTCTTCCATGCCTCCTGAGTCCTGCCTCAGCTAGAAGAACATCTAAATTGAGGCATGCTCAGTTTGCCAGCTATGGTTTTCCCAGTAGTGATGTGTAGAAGTGAGAGCTGGACCATAAAGAAGGCCAATCGCTGAAGAATTGATGCTTTTGAATTATGGTGTTAGAGGAGACTCTTGAGAGTCCCATGGACTGCAAGAAGATCAAACCTATCCATTCTGAAGGAAATCAGCCCTGAGTGCTCACTGGAAGGACAGATCCTGAAGTTGAGGCTCCAATACTTTGGCCACCTCATGAGAAGAGAAGACTCCCTGGAAAAGACCCTGATGTTGGGAAAGATGGAGGGCACAAGGAGAAGGGGGCGACAGAGGACGAGATGGTTGGACAGTGTTCTCAAAGCTACCAGCATGAGTTTGACCAAACTGCGGGAGGCAGTGGAAGACAGGAGTGCCTGGCGTGCTCTGGTCCATGGGGTCACGAAGAGTCGGACACAACTAAACGACTAAACAACAACAACAACAACAGTTTGCCACAGCCTTTGCAGTTCACACATATCAACAGCTTTCCCTCCCCTGCCATGGACACACACCTTTTGCTAGCAATGAACATGTGTGCATTGATAGCTTTCATCCATTGCACTTGATTATGATTTTGCATTACTTGGTTGCAGGGGTGCCAACTAGAATAAAATATTGGGGGAAACCCAGGTAAGCCCTGACCTGCATATTTGATCATGTGATGTGGCACAAACATCCCATTTGAATAGAAATGCCCATTAACTTTTGGGTGGCCTGGGCTCCTCGAGTATTTTATTGGGGGGGAGGCAAAGGGACCTCAGTCCCTAGGAGTTGGCTCCTATGCTTGGTTGTTACTGTGGGAACACTTCAAGAAATAAACTGGTGAAAGAAAACCAGTGTTGATGTGGTCATAGGGGTGGTTATGATCTCTCTTTCCACAAATATATCTCAAGGTGATGTACAAAATGTAACAAGCAAACAAATAAAGGCAGTTAAGAACAGCAAAAGAAAAAGAACACACAAGATTATTTTTTTAAAAAATAAATAAATACAAAATGGATTTCCACAGGAGAGACCCAGGACAGGTTATTTGGACATAAATGTATCCGGTTGATTCTGGAAAACGCAGATACAGTAGTACTTCGGGTTACAGACGCTTAAGGTTACAGACTCCGCTAACCCAGAAATAGTACCTCAGGTTAAGAACTTTGCTTCAGGGTGAGAACAGAAATCGTACAGTGGCGGTGTGGCAGCAGTGGGAGGCCCCATTAGCTAAAGTGGTGTCTCAGGTTAAGAACAGTTTCAGGTTAAGACAGACCTCCGGAATGAATTAAGTAGGTACCGCTGTAGTAGGTTCCTGTATCTCAGCAGGAATACCGTTCCACAAAACAGGGTCATTGAATGCTTTGCTCTGAGTGAAGTGGGTTCCTAATAACTTTGGAAAGTGCAGGAGAAGCTCTTCTGTAGACCCCAGTGACCTACTAAGTTTATAAGGCAGTATTTCACGTACAGGGGTATACAGCAGGATAGGGGCTTACACATTAAAAACTTTCCATAGTTCTATTTACAGGTAGGTAGCCGTGTTGGTCTGCTGTAGTTGAAACAAAATTTTAAAAAATCCTTCCAGTAGCACCTTAGAGACCAACTAAGTTTGTTATTGGTATGAGCTTTCGTGTGCATGCACACGTCTTCATATAGCACACGAAAGCTCATACCAATAACAAACTTAGTTGGTCTATAAGGTGCTACTGGAAGGATTTTTTTTTATTAAAAACTTTGACATTGGCCCAGTAGCAGATTGGCAGCCCATGCAAATCCAGTGAGCAAGGTGTTATATGGTGGTTGTACTTTCCCCCATCAAACAACCTACACTAGTGGCCAAAATTGTGGAAACTTTTCGGGAAAAGTGTATTTCTGAGGTCTGACGGCTCATAACACCTGATTGGCTCTCTAGACACTCATGCTCATTGGCTACATTCAAATGAAGGAAACCTACTGTATATCAACCTTAGCAAGTTGTGCTTCCTTTTCCTGGTTATTTGGCTATAAGCTTTGATAGAATACAGATAATTGAACAAACTTTGTTGTATTGCATTTTTCTTTAAATTATATTTCCATTGATATATAATTTTATGGTATTACTCCAAAAAATAGTGGTGTTATGAGCCATCAAACCTCAGAAGTACACTTTTCCCTAAAGGTTTCCACTATTTTGGCCGCTAGTGTAGTTGCCATGTGTTCTGCACTAGCTGCATCCTCTGGAACAACCTCAAGGGTAGCCCCACATGGAGCACACAACATACCCTCAAACATTTCTCTGGTGAAAATAGGGACATCTTATTCCATTATAACAATAACAATAATATTTCTACCCCACCCATCTGATTGGGTTGCTCCAGCCACCCTGGGTGGTTTCCAACATATATAAAAACATAATTAAACATTAAACATTTTAACATTCCCCTATACAGGGCTGCCTTCAGATGTCTTCTAAAGGTTGTACAGTTACTTATCTTTTTGGCTTTAGGGTCGCATAACTCCACACTCTTCAACATTTCTCCCATGAAAATAGGGACGTTCTACCACAGCTCCCAAAATTTCTCCAATGAAAATAGGGATGTCTAAAATAGGAAAAGCGGGACATTCCAGGATTGAATCAGAAACCAGGATGGCTTCTGTAAATCTGGGACTGTCCCTGGAAAATAGGGACACTTGGAGGGTCTGGTCTCAGCTTTCGTAGCTGGAGTCAGCCAGGGCCCTGTCAGGAGTTCAGCCTACACTCAAGTAGGACCCTGGCAGAGACACATGCCTGACTGGCATGTTCTTTCCCTCCTGGTCAATCGTTCGGGAGCTTCAAAAGCTTTCTTCAGCCCAAACATCACAGCGACCGATCCCAACAGACACCGGCACACTTAGGGATCCGCAGAGTTTGTGCAACTTGCGTAACAGACCTCAGCAACTCAGCATTTTGGCTAATCTACTTTATTTACATATAAACACACACGGAGCACTGCAACATGGCTCCCTCTCTCTCTAGCATCAGACAGCAAAAGAAGAAGAAAACAAAGGACAATAATCCCACTTCACGGAACACAGTAACACAAACATCCTGTCTCTGTCACTTCCCACTTTGTGGAGTCCAAACATACACCGTCATGGGTTAGAAAAAAATCTCATGACTGCAACCATGGAGCAGGAATTCTAACAGGCCCCACCCTCCCATGACAGGTGGAAAAAGCCAACCAAGCAGGAAGCAGGTCTTCTAAGTCTCACAGCCAAGATGGCTTCTGGCCTCTTCAGCAGCCTTGGTCTTTGTAGCTGGAGTCGGTCAGGGCCCCACCCATTCCCTGGAAAATACTTGGAGGGTTTGACACAGCAGTATCCAGACTTGAGGTTACCAATGCATAGACAGTTGAGGTCAAGCCAGGAATGGTCATAGCTGTCTTACCAGCAAAGGTGGCCCTCCAAGCCACAAAGGACATCTGTGCCTGCAGCAGCGCCCCTAAAACACTCACCTGTTCCCTCACGGAAGAGTCTTTCAGCCATGTCATTAGCCGGGCTCTTTTGCCATTTCACCTTCCTCAATTCTTTCCTGACACATGAGCTATCCTGGGCATCTTCTCCAGGAATGTTCAACACTTTATAAGGTGCCAGGAAAAAAATGAACCTTTTTATTTCCTGCGGTTTTGTAACCCTGACCCAGCAGCTGTTCTCTAACAGATGACAATGTAAATTTAGCAAGCTTCCTTATAAATAAATATCTCTGGAGTGTTTCTACCGGATTTAATTGTATGCATCCTACTTCTGTCCACAAAATTAAAACATTAATAACAGTCACTGATTGTTTAGCCACATGAACTCTGTGGCGTGTGTGCGCACGTTTTAAATTAGGCTGTTCATTAAGCCAAGTTATCTGCATATTCAGCTACAGACTTGCTGCTCTATGAAACAGACTTTTGATTCATGTGTTATATAGTGATGTGCTCACCCTAGTATGCCTAAGACTTGTGTGTCAGCACTTCAATTATAAAGCCAGCTTTTATTGGCTTATAGCTCAGCTGTAAAATCTTGCTATCGGCTCCAGATATGACAGACAATGTCTCTGTTCTCTAATTCATTATTTCCTGCCAAAATCCAAAGATTAAGCCCTAATCCGATGGGCCCACTCTGCACCAATTAGGGCCACTTCACGACATTGCTCTCACTTCAAGGGTGCACACAAATGTCACATGCCATGTGTGCATTGAAACACACATATTGGTGAAAATAATGCACAAAAGCAGACCATAATAGGAGAAATTGCTTGAAAAAGGTATCCCTTCCAACTCTACAATTCTATGATTCTATTTGACAGTGGAACAGTCTCCCTTGGGAGGTTGAGGACTCTCCTTCCTTGGAGGTTTTCAAGCAGAGGTTGGATGGCCGTCTGTCAGGGATGCTGAGATTCTTGCATTGCAGAGGGTTGGACTAGATGACCCTTGGGGTCCCTTCCAACTCAGCGTGGTATAGTGGTTAAATACACCAGAGCCAGCGTGGTGTAGTGGTTAAGAGCAGTGGACTCATAATCCAGTGAACTGGGTTTGCTTCCCCGCTCCACCACATGCAGCTGCTGGGTGACCTTGGGCTAGTCACACTTCTCTGAAGTCTCTCAGCCTCACTCACCTCACAGAGTGTTTGTGGGGGAGGAAGGGAAAGGAGATTGTGAGCCGCTTTGAGACTCCTTCGGGTCGTGATAAAGCGGGATATCAATTCCGGGTTGGTGCCTCCGGCAATGGCGGAATTCCTCTGATCGGGAGGAATTTGCCCTGTGGGAATTTGGGTCTGTACCGTCACGGCAAAGGCAGAGATCCGTAAAAATCACAGGTGGGAGAAGCCTGTGAACGTGGGATTTGGCGGGCACCTTTTGCGCCTCCCCTACTCGCGGGGAAACCCGGTTTTGGGGATCCAGAGCGATGTGGGGTGAGTGGCGCGGTGCTTCGAATCGTCTGCTTCTTCCACATCCCCCCCTTTTTGGAGGCAGGAGAAGAGGGGGGGAAGTGGTGGACTGAATATGCCTGTAGGAGAGAGTTAAGAGAGTTAAAATACCGCCGCTCTGACCCTGGAAATGGGCTGCTAGCAGGATTGATGTTTTTTGGAATGTCCATTGACAGCATTTAGAACGTTCATTGACAGGTAGCTAATCAAGAGAATACATTGTTTCTACTGTCTCCGGTTGTTTTTAAAAAAGGAGGAAAGTAACTGAAAATTGAAACTAACTTTGGATTATTGAAACTGTGTTTAAAAGAGGACATACTGACCGATACAAATACAACCTGTTTTCCCCTAGTGGAAGCTTTTGAAATTGGTAACTTTATAGGAGCTAGGCTAGGGGAATTTCCAGCTGCAAGATAAAAAAGTGTGAGACTTTGGAATTGACCTTGAGTTTCTTAAGTGTTATGGCAAACGGAAAGGAAAAAACAGACGGGATGCCGACAGAGGAGGCCTTAGTGGCTGCATTATTGAAAATAAACGACTCGCTGGAACAACTCCACAAGAAAACAGATGCGATAAATGTGAAATTGGATGTCGCAAATATTGAAATTGATTTAAGTGTAGAAAGTTTAAATAACTTGGGACAAAAGGTGAATACCAATTCAGAAACCACCCAGAAACTGACACAGGAATCTACTCTGATACGGCAAACTGCAGATGAAGTCAGGGAAAAAAACCCTTGCTGCTGAATCCAAAGTAATACAACTGGAGAGGAGAGTCCCATCCATACAAAGACAACTTGATGAACATAAGCTGACATTTGTTATGATTGAACTTAAAGAAGAACGGATGAATTTGAGGACCAGAGCCCTATCTGAATTGGAAAAGGAAAGCTTGACAGAGTTTCAAGAGGTGACAGGACTAACATTGGTTGAGAAAGAGAGGTATTTGGGGGTTAGTATGACCGCCAAAAATGTGAATCTGCTTAAGGATAATTGTGAAGGATGCTGGATTGAGGAGAAGGGGGATTTGGAAATATGGACAAATCAGAAGTTGTTACTGTTGGGCCGAGTTATTGTGGTGGGGATGAGGGCTGCTGTGTTGCTGGGGATGTTGCTTTTCTTTCAAACATTGCAAGCTTTGGATGGGACGGAGGGGTTCAGGAGGTGGCAGAGGGATGCTCCTAGAGTTGTTTGACAGGGCAGGAAGCCTCGAGTAAAACTTAAGATATTGATGGATGCCAAAGAAGGAGGTGGACCTGCCCTGCCAGACCTTTAAACTTCGTTGTGAACCATCTGCTTTTTGCTGGTTGAGAGAATGGTTGCTTTTGAAAACACTGAAGTGTTGGACAATGGCAGATGAAGTTGATGGACTATATGGAATTGGCGGAAATGACTGGCAAGATCCGAGACCAGGGTGAAGAGTCGGTGGAAGAAGATTGGAAAAAGTTTAAAGACTATTTATAGAAATATTGTAAAATTAAGGAATGTTAGAAAAATGTTGGAATGAAATTACATGGCTTTAGTAGAAATGTCATAAAGAATTAAGTATAAATAGATTAATAGAAAATTAAAGGGAAAGTATGGTAAGAATGTGTTAAGATAATTATAGAACAGAAAACAGAGTAAGATGGAAAGGAATTGCTGAAACAAATAATAGAAGTGGAATACAAAAAGGGAGGTGTGAGGAGGTCGCTGGAAATAAGTGAATGAAATATAAGATATTGAAAATGTTTGAGGTGTTTTTAAATTGTTTTTGTTTGCTTTTCTTTGCTTTGTTAGTCCATGTAGCGTTTTTTTTTTGTATTGTATTGTATTTGTATTGTTTTTTCTCTTTTTTCTTTTCTCTTTTTTTCTCTTTTTTTGTTTGTAGTGCTGTGTTGGAAATGTTGAAAAAGTAATAAATATCATTTTTAAAAAATCAATTCCAAACTCCTCCTCTTAATATTTTATGATTCTGTATTACTCAAAACTGTATAAAAAAATGTTACTAGAGGAAATTCATACTAAAATGCTGAATTTCCATGGGAATTTTTTTTAAAGAAGATCACAAATTGCTGTGGAAATGTGGAGAACATTACTTAGGATTTGAAATATAAGAAACTTAGAGAACTGAACTTGAAAGATTCACCCAAGAACTAGCATTTTCTGATGCCTTGCCAACAAATGGCAAAATTGAGGAAACTATTTAGACATCTTTCAACAAAGTTGCCTTCCTTTTATTGGGTGGTAAGAAAAAGAAAAATCTCACACTTCTAAAATGTATCTTAAACACATATTCTGTATTTTTTCAGCTCAGTTTGCCTTAGATTGCATCGCCAATTGGTTCTTTAAATGCTTTAGATGCAGCTGTGATTATACAATGCAGGGCAGCTATCTTAAATCCCATCTGTCCCCCCCAAAATGTCATTCCATTCCTCAAAAACTCGTAATTTTGACTGATTGCCACTTGCTGCAGAGTTTGGGCATAGTTTTTCTTTTAAAAATCATTTGATCAGTTAGCATTAAATCTAAATGTAACATCACATTAATTTCTTTACCTCCCCACCCCTCCTGGTTCTCAATATTCTCCACACACATTTATCATTAATTGTGTGATGGTGATAGCTGTTCCTAGAGCCACACATTTTGGGATGATGACATCCTTTCTTTTACAGACAACCATGATGCAAACGATGGAGCAGTGTTTGCAAGTGGCTGATACACCGTGGCACTTGCACAAGCTATTTCAGACATCTCCAGAGCTTTCCACACCTTACTGCAATGGCGCCAGCCAAAGACATTTCGCCATCCAAGGCAAAGGACAAGATGGTGCCCGTGTGCTGATGGCTGCACAAATTGTGGCTGAAACTCAATTCCACACTGGTGAGAGCAGTTAGGAGACTCCATTCCCACCCCCCAACAGAACTACAATTCACAGAATTCCCTGGGTAGAAGGGTTTATTGTTAAACTGCTCTGGAAATGGTAGGTCTGTGTGAGTAACAGAGGTCTCCTAGAAATGCTTTGTTGTTGTTTAGTCATTTAGTCGTGTCCGACTCTTCGTGACTCCATGGACCAGAGCACGCCAGGCACTCCTGTTTTCCACTGCCTCCCACAGTTTGATCAAACTCATGCTGGTAGCTTCGAGAACACTGTCCAACCATCTCGTCCTCTGTCGTCCCCTTCTCCTTCTGCCCTCCATCTTTCCAAACATCAGGGTCTTTTCCAGGGAGTCTTCTCTTCTCATGAGGTGGCCAAAGTATTGGAGCCTCAGCTTCAGGATCTGTCCTTCCAGTGAGCACTCAGGGCTGCTTTCCTCCAGAATGGATAGGTTTGATCTTCTTGCAGTCCATGGGACTCTCAAGAGTCTCCTCCAGCACCATAATTCAAAAGCATCAATTCTTCGGTGATCAGCCTTCTTTATGGTCCAGCTCTCACTTCCATACATCACTACTGGGAAAACCATATCTTTAACTATATGGACCTTTGTCAGCTAATCATCACTCTTAATAAGCTTTCGTTTCCCAGGATTCTTTGGGGCAATCTGTGACTTTTAAAAATGGTCTCTAATATAGGGGGCTGTTAAGGTCTTAGATCTATCAAAAAACAACAACAACAACAAACCCTGTGAACACAGCCTTTGTCCAATGTGTTCATATTTACCGAACCTGTCACGGTTTTTATACACCTCTGTCATATTCATGATGTCTTTCTATTTAAATATGTTTTTGCTGGTAGCCTTGCCAGCCATCCTAGCTGTCACCCTTCTTTTCACCTCTCGTCTTTCCTCAGGTCACGCTGACTTTTGGTTTCATGATGTGTCAAAAGAGCTATTTGCACATGCTGGGCTAGCTGTCAGTCACCCCCATGAAGCTGTGAACTATGTAAAGAATGTTATTGTGCACTAAGCAGCCTGGCAGGGCATGGGCCAGCTTTTCCATAAAAGAGAAATAAAGGCAGCTGCTTAGTAAGAATGGAAATTTTATATATATATTCCCATTGGTCTTGTTAAAAAAATTAAATGTGACATCTTTTCCACTGTTGGCTTCGGAACACCACTATGCAATACAGGTCCCTCTAGGATTCCTCTTGCAAATATATTCTTATGCCTGTGGGTGGCAATTCCATCCTTTTAAGCTTTGGCAGAATTCCATCCCAGGTACATATATAGGAAATATCTACCTTTAGTCCAACTTACACATGGTTTCGCTTTAATAACCAGCTGCACAAATATAATATGGACTTGCCAGTAGTACATGTGAAAAGGTTCTAGGGGTCTTGGTGGACCACAAGCTTAACACAAGTCAACAGTATGATGTGGCAGCAAAAATATATATGCTAATGCTATTCTAGCTGCATCAACAGAAGTGTAATGTCCAGATCAAGGGAAGTCAAAGTACAGTGGTACCTCAGGTTAAGAACTTAATTCATTCTGGAGGTCCGTTCTTAACCTGAAACTGTTCTTTTTTTTAAAAAAAAAAATGATGTTTATTGAGAATTTTAAAGTTACAAAGAAAGAAGAAAGAAAAGACAAAAGAGGGGGACAAGAGAAAAAGAAGTAGATAAACATAACAATTAAACAATACAGATCAATAAAAACCAAAGTCAAAAAAAACACAATAACAAAACACACAATACATCTAGATCAAAAAACAAAAATAAACAAACAATTAAAAAACAAGTCTAATATTCCCAAATCCTTAACTTTCATTAATTTATTTCAACGACCTCCTCACACCTCCCTTTTTTGTATTCTAGTTGTTAATTATCTCAGCAAATCCTTTCCATCTTTCACAATATTCTGTCATTTAAATTACCTCAATCTATTTTAACCTTATCTTACCTAAAAACCCTAAGAACTTAAAACTTAAAACTATATATACCAAATTCTTTTAACCATAACATATTCTTTCATAATTCTTTTGACATTTCTGCTAAAGCCAAATAATTTCATTCCAACATTTTTCTAATACTCATTAATTTTACAATACTTTTCTAAATAAATTTTGAAACTTTCTTCCAATCTTCATCCATCGTCTCTTCTTCCTGGTCTCGGGTTTTGTCAGTCCTTTCTCGTCTATCTAATCCATCAACCTGGTGCTCTTATGTCCGAGGCTCTTAAATCTTTTCCATGTCCCTTCTGCAGGTCTTCTTCTTGTTTATACCTGCCCTTTACTTTATCTTTTGTTGATCTTTTTCTTGTTTTCTTTCCTTTCTCATTGGGGGGTAGGTCTCGGGAGGACTCCAATCCAAAAGTATCTCCATCTCTCCTCAGCAGATCTGCCCATTCCCCACAGTCCCATTCCCCACAGTCAACACTGTAATCCAGAAAATATTTAAAAGCATGTTTCAAAGTCTTTCCAAAATTAAGAGCTCTCACAACTCCAGACCCCGCCCCCCGGTCCACTCCAGATTCGAACTTCAATAACAGCGGCTTATACTCCTGCAAGGCCTCGGGTCTCTCCATTTGTGTTATTTGAGGTTCAACAACAACCTCCTCCATTTTCTTCTGCCCTTGCGCTTGCCCTATCAAAACAGATTCCTGAGCTGGTTCCTGAATGGTTTCTATATGGGTATTCGCCGTTTGTCCAAAGTTTTTAACTGCAACAGTCATCAAATCCATCTTCTCATGCATCTGCTCCAGCAAGGCACTTGCAAAGAGCAAGCACCAAGACTTCTTGTAAACACATTTTTTTCCCCCAAGGTTAGAGTCTGGTCTCACGATCCTAATCATACAGCTGTGAGGTCCCCAGATCAGCTCCGGCAACAAATTAACAAGCTCCCTCTAGAGGAGACAATTTCTATTTGTATCCATCTTTTAAAAACAGGACCAAAGAGGAAAAATTACTTTCACTTTTCAAATACTTTGTTTCTTTTGATTGCAAGAAGCAACATTGGAATCAATATATTTCTCTCTCTCTTTTTTTTTACTATCTGTCAAAAGACGTTCCGTTCACAGTCGATGAACTTTCCCCATAAATTTCTGTCTCTGACACCCCGTTCCCAGGTTTGAGACAGTGGAAAATTTATCTTTCTTTACTCTCTCTCCTGCAGGCTTAAACAGTCAAAAATCCCCCTCTTTTCTCCTGCTCCCAAGAGGGGTTTTGGTGATGATGAATGAAGGAAATTTAGAACTTTATATACGACTTTCCAGACTTTAGCTTACAAAGTTTTTGCTTCAATCTATTTACAAAAAACGGGAGGCGGACTTCCTGTTTAGAACCTTCCCATTTCGGTGCCAAATTAAAATATTTCTTAGTACTTAATCCAATTTTCCATTCTACTCACGGGTACTTGTTTAGAGTCCAATTGTCCACAGGAAAAAGTCAGCGCTCTCTGGCAACGGCTGTGCGGCTTCACTCCGTAAAAGTAGTGGTTGATTCAAAACACCGCGCCGCTCACCCCACGTCGCTTCGGACCCCCGAAAAAGGGTTTCCCTGCGAGTAGGGGAGGCGCTCCTGGTGTTCCTAACCTGAAACTGTTCTTAACCTGAGGTACCACTTTAGCTAATGGGGCCTCCTGCTGCCACCGCACTGCACGATTTCTGTTCTCATCCTGAAGCAAAGTTCTCAACCCAAGGTACTATTTCTGGGTCTGTAACCTGAAGCGTCTGTAACCTGAAGCGTCTGTAACCTGAGGTACCACTGTACTGCTCTATTCTGCCTTGGTCAGACCACATCTGGAGTACTGTGTCCTGTTCTGGGCCCCACAATCTAAGCAGGATATTGACAAGCTAGAACATGTGCAGAGGAAGGCAACCAAAATGATCAAGAGTCTGGTAGCCAAGCCTTGTGAGGAATGGTTGAGGGAGCTGAGTATGCTTAGCCTGGAAAAGAGGAGACTGAGAGGAAATACGATAGCCATCTGCAAATGTCTCAAGGGCTGACACATGGAAGAGGGAGCAAGCTTGTTTTCTCCCGCTCTGGAGGCTAGGACCTGAACCAATGGATTCAAGTTACAAGAAAGGAGGTTCCAACTAAACATCAGGAAGAACTTTCTGACAGTAAGAGCTGTTTGACTGTGGAACGGACTCCACCGGGAGGTTACGGACTCTCCTTCCTTGGAGGTTTTTTAAGCAGAGGTTGGATGCCCATCTGTCATGGATGCTTTAGCTAAGATTTCTGCATTGCAGGGGGTTAGACTATATCACTCTCGGGGTCTCTTCCAACTCTACAATTCTATCATTCAAGGCTTGTCATCATCTTCATCATTACTATTAGCATTTATATCCCACCTTTCTCCTCAAAGAGCTGAAGGTGGCATACAGTACATCATTCTCCCCCTCATTATTATTATTTTTAAATAATAATTTCCATTTGTTTTCAATTACACTCCAACAATAGCCTCATTATAACAATGCCAATTAAGATAAAGGTAAAGGGACCCCTGACCATTAGGTCCAGTCGTGACCAACTCTGGGGTTGCGACGCTCATCTCACTTTATTGGCCGAGGGAGCCGGTGTGCAGCTTCCGGGTCATGTGGCCAGCATGACTAAGCCGCTTCTGGCGAACCAGAGCAGCACACGGAAACAGCGTTTACCTTCCCACCGGAGCGGTACCTATTTATCTACTTGTACTTTGATGTGCTTTTGAACTGCTAGGTTGGCAGGAGCTGGGACTGAGCAACGGGAACTCACCCTGTTGCGGGGATTTGAACCACCGACCTTCTGATCAGCAAGTCCTAGGCTCTGTGGTTTAACCCACAGTGCCACCCGCGTCCCTATTTAAGTGCCCAAAGTAAGATGCATGTGGTATAAATAGTAAAATTATCATTATGGAATGGGACGTCCCTATTTTCAATGGAGAAATGTTGGAGGCTATGTAAGATCAGAGACAAAAACTGTGGTATGAAAAGTTACCTAAATCAGAACTGTTCTTGGAACTCTCTACTTAAAAAGAGGGGAGGGGGAGGAATCTAAGGGAAGCAAAAAGGAAGGAAGGAAAGAAGGAAGAAAAGAAAGAAAGAAAGAAAGAAATTGAAAAAGACTAGCAAAAATATATTTATAAGGGAGTGAGGCATTCTGCACATTCAGATTTGGTATTCAAACATGTGCTTCTGAGATCATGGATGTTGCCTTTGCTGACATCCCTGAATATCAATCTGTGTTGCTGAGGGGAATGCGAATGATGTCCACTGTAGCATAAGAACAGGTCCTAGAACAGCTTCTTCTCTCAGATGCTCAGATTTGGCACCAGCCCAAGACCACAGTTCTGCTAACACAGCCGGAACATTAATATTCACACCATGTTCAATGCCTCTCAGCTAGAATGTGTTTTTTTTTTTTTTTGAGTCTCTAGAATGCCAGAGAATGAAGGAGGCCTGGGAGGCTTCCAAGACGGTGCTATTTCCTCTTCTGAAATAAGTGGAATCTCTCTTACTCGCTCGTGGATTAATGGTGACCTCTGCAGATGACTGTGTAATGACGGAAAATGCCCACCGAGAAAGGTACACCTGCAGGAATAATTAGAGGCACCATCGCTGTGGAAGGACTTATGCAAGTATCTGCAATGAGCAGGGGCTATATTGGGAGAGATACTGTTTCTGCACACTTTTCGTGTTGCGTCTATTCATTTCTGCACCCAAAAAAAAGGGGGGGGATAAAATATGAATAACTGGCATTTGAATCCAGGCAGATTTTGACTCTACGAGAGGCAAAAGGTCACTTGGGGGTCTTCCTTATCCCATCTCTAAAGCTATGTGCAATCGATGGATAGGGGTGGTGGACACAAGTTGGTTCACACATACAGATGCCTCGCTTGATTTTTCAGTGTGTTGACCTCAGTAAATGGATGATGATTACAATGAGCACACATCAGAGGAAGACAGGCTGTGCCCATGCCTATGTTCCCATATTAGGACTTCTGCCCGTATAGCCATGTGCGTGGGATATTTACATGGTAGGGACATGGGAGGCGCTGTGGTCTAAACCACTGAGCCTCTTGGGCTTGCTGATTGGAAGGCCGGCGGTTCGAATCCCTGTGACAGGGTGAACTCTGCCCCAGTTCCGGCCAAACTAGCAGTTCGAAAGCATGCCAGTGCAAGTAGATAAATAGGGACCGCTGTTGCAGGAAGGCAAACGGCATTTCCGTGCGCTCTAGCACTCATCACAGTCCTCTGTGTGCCAGTAGTGGTTTAGTCCTGCTGGCCACATGACCCAGAAAACTGTCTGTGGACAAAGGCTGGCTCCCTCGGCCTGAGAGCGAGATGAGCGCCGCAACCCTATAGTCGCCTTTGACTGGACTTTATCCAGGGGTCCTTTCATGGTCTATTTTTGTCTTCCAAAGCAACTACTCTCTTCTGAACTTAAAAATGGAAAGCGTAATGCTGGTGGTCAACAAAAGAGGTTCAAAGACTCTCTCAAGGCAAATCTTAAAAAATGTAGTACAAACACTGACAACTGGGAAACACTGGCCTGCAAGCACTCCAATTGGAGAACAGCCTTTCCCAAAGGTGTCATGGGCTTTGAAGACACTCAAACTCAGGACGCAAGGGAGAAATGTGCTAAGAGGAAGGCATGCTTGGCAAACCCTCACCATGATCAACTCCCACCTGGAAACCTATGTCCCCACTGTGGAAGGACGTGTGGATCCAGAATTGGCCTCCACAGTCACTTACGGACTCACTGTTAAAACCGTGTTTATGGAAGACAATCTTACTCGGCTATGAGTGATTGCCAAAGAAGAAGGTGATATTTTCATGAATCTTGACCCTCTCTCCTCCCGAGTAAATGCCTGAAGAGGAACCACGTGGGCAGGATTTGTTGGAAAATCAAGTGATGGACATGCATTGAACCAGCTCCTCATTTTCTTTCTAAGTCCTAATGACTCTGAGATGATACCTTTTGTTAAAAAAATATCAGTTCAGTTCATTATGTACATGTTATGTTAAGATTTGCAGCTCACTCCAGCCTTAATGTTCAAAACGGGTAATATATCACACATTCTCCTTATCTGATTCCTCTTCAGAGATCCCTGGTAACTTATGCCACAATTACTCATGTTTTTTACTGATGAGAAAAGGCTGGTAAAGAGTAGTTGTAAGTAGGTGGATTTTTTAAAAAAATAAACTTTGGGGGAAATTCTTTGAAACTTTCATGAGGAGAGCACTATTGTAGTGACAGGGGCAGTTTTTTCCTTTTACTTATGTCTTACTGCCACCAACCACGCTTGCGCAGGGGCAGGGTGTGTTTGAAGCCCAACATTTTCCACAGATTACCCTGACTGTAATATTGTTCCCTGGCATTATGTGGCATGGCTGGACCTACCATTAGGCAAAGGGAAACAACTGCCTCAGGTTGCAGAAGCTCCTAGCTATTGGAAAACAGATCTGTGTATCCCCGTGGCCTCTCCTGGCCCCTTGTAAACTAACTTCAGGTACAGTGGAGCATGCTATTCCATTGCCAGTGTTGATGTCATATCCAACTACAAGTCAGTGTCAGCACATGGAATGGGAAGGAGCTCCATCTTGTCCTTTGCCTTGGGCAGCAATCTGGCTCACATTGTTTCCTTTCAGGGGCATGGTGGACACTGGAGAGACGTTCCACTGCTACCTCCTGCAACAGTGGTGCTAAAAATATGTTTTAAGGGACACCACTGCCGCCATAATGGCAAACCTCCCATGAACCTTTTGCACCCTTTCTCTCCTTCTCCTCAAATTGCCCCTGGTTTCACAGGCCCCAAATTTCATGCACACACACAAAAATCTCCATAGGACGGCAATGGGATAGAGTCTAAGATACTCTTACAACAGAAAAAAGTAAATCACATTATTCCTGAGCAGAGGAAGCCTGCCAGTTTATTTTGAGAGCCAAGCCCTTTTTATATGTGAACTACACTGAGACCTCTGGGTATAGGGCATGGGTAGGCAAACTAAGGCCTGGGGGCCGGATCTGGCCCAATCGCCTTCTCAGTCCGGCCTGCAGACGGTCCAGGAATCAGCGTGTTTTCACATGAGTAGAATGTGCCCTTTTATTTAAAATGCATCTCTGGGTTATTTGTGGGGCCTGCCTGGTGTTTTTACATGAGTAGAATGTGTGCTTTTATTTAAAATGCATCTCTGGGTTATTTGTAGGGCATAGGAATTTGTTCATTATTTTTTTCAAAATATAGTCTGGCCTCCCACAAGGTCTGAGGGACAGTGGACCAGCCCCCTGCTGAAAAAGTTTGCTGACCCTGGTATAGGGCATTTTATAAATTTTAATTTTAATAATAATAATAATAATAATAATAATAATAATAGTGTGACCCATTCATACAATGAACACATTGAGGGAGCTGGTTGTACACCCCCTGCAAGGCTTCACAATGTATGTGCAATGCTGCCTGTTAAGTATATGCAACTTAACAGACAGAGGACTGTTCTCTATGTGTTCTGGAACTCTGGGAAATTAGAGTTCCAGAATACACAGAGAAACATCCTCTGCAGCAGAATAATGAGTGTATACGCAAGATGAAGAGAGTCTGCCATTGTAATGGTGGCTCCCTAAGTGTGTGGATAAGGTATGAAAAATCCTGGGGCAGGGTTTTGCAACTTCTCTAAATCCGAAAGCCATATTCCCTTCTGGATGTGAGGCAGCACCAGTGAGGGGCGTGCCTGGAGGATAAAGGGTGTGGCCTAGGGAGAGTTCTGGTGGGCTGATAGAGAAGAGGGTTACCCATTGCTACAATTTGCTAAGAAGCAAGACCGTTCTCTGCAGCCTTCATTAACATTCAGATCTGTGCAGACCAATTAGAGGGTTATGATCTAAACATTGATTATTCCCTCCTTTCTTTTTCTCACCAGCAATTCCAACAATGGATATGTGTCACCGGATGAACACCACCTAATGATATGATTTGTCATATAATGATCTGTGATTGATGTTATAGGGATATCCTGCCCGCCACCTCGAATAAATAAATCTGACATTAGGCTCTTAGCGTAAGTCATGGATTTGCTTTCTTCATTTATTTTAAGAAATATTGAGTTGTGTTATATATAGGGGGGGGCGGGAGAAACTAACCAAAACAAATATTCTTAAAGTACGCAGATTTGAAAATTAATTTTGGATATATATAAAAGATGGAGATGGAATACCCCTCAACTGTCCTGATTAAATTGGGACATCCCATTTTGGGTGGGGGCGCTCTCACATGAGAGCATGGTGCCCAAAAACGCGAGAGATCGCAGCACCCAAAAAGGCGCAATGGATCTTGTACCTCCTAAATGTTGTCAGAAGATTCTGGAGGCAACAAGTGTCAAAATTCATTGAAGATGCATATTCTGAGAGAAAATACCTCTGGAAATCTGCAGTTTTTAGAGAAGATATGATACAGTGGTACCTTAGTTCTCAAATTTAATCCGTTCCAGAAGTCTGTTCCAAAACCAAAGTGTTCCAAAACCAAGGCACACTTTCCCATAGAAAGCAATGCAAAATGGATTCATCCATTCCAGACTTTTAAAAACAACCCCTAAAACAGCAATATAACATGAATTTTACTATCTAACGAGACCATTGGTCCATAAAATGAAAGCAATAAACAATGTACTAGGGTCACACAATCAATCAATTTGTAGCTGAACTGGGTTCCACACAGTTACAAAAACAAAACAAAAAGAGCCGCAAAAACAAAAACGCAAAATAAATAGCAAAAACAGACAGACCTCGGCGTAACACTCAAAACGGAAGCATGGCACTCAAAACGGAGCACGTTCAGCTTCCAAAAAAAGTTCGCAAACCAGAACACTTCTGTGTTTGCAGTGTTTGAGTTCCAAGTTGTTTGAGAACAAGTTGTTTGAGAACCAAAGTACCACTGTATATCAAAAAATGCACATTTTAACATGCATATAAATGTGAACTGTCACACACATAGCAGTCACGGCAGACTAATGTGGAACTGATGCAGAACAGACATTATGGGTAATTGCTCAAATACATGACACATACTGTATATAGATTGACTCACCCACCCCTGCTCTAAGCACTGCTATTGGGCCACCAAACCACAGTTTCTATTTTCTGTCAGCCAATGTCATCGCAGGAATTGAACTTCTACAGAGAACCGCCCTCTCCCTAGTCTCCTGGCTAATGGCTGATCTATCTAAAGTTTCCTAAAGGGGTTTTCACAAGGTGTTCAATGGTTTTGCAACAGCCTTGGAGGTCAATGAGTAGCTCTCCGCACAAACGTCTGCTTGTTTATCAGGTGATACATTTTGTTGGTTATTGATTTGACTCAGCTGCTTTTTATCACCCGGCAGAAATGCTGCACTGACATCAATAAGAGAAGAAGATGGGGGGGTGAAAAAAAATAAACACACATTATTGACTTCTACAGAAACAGGGTTTAGCCTTTGCATTAGCACTGCAGCATTTGATAATTGTGAATGAAGACGTCTCACTTTTGTGTGTCTGGATAACAGGAACGGAATTCTTCTGACCTGATGCCCTGAAACTACCAAAGAGAGCAAAATTCATTGCTTGTGAAAGTGGGTTGCTCCAGAACATTAAGACAAAAATTAGGCTGCACCAAAATGCTGTGGTTACTCCTGCTGTAAAGAGGAATAGACAGAACTGGTCAATGAAAGATAACAGCTCCCATTGTTGTTGCTGTTCCATCAAAGGATTATTAGGCAACGTACCAGAAACAATGAGAAGGAGACGCCCTGCCCACAACCTGGAAATCTAATGAATGAATAGCTTTACAAATCTCAGGATGCAGCTGTAGGACTATTTGTGGCAAAGCAGAAGATTGCAGCAATAACAGAGTCTCTTCTATTTCCAGTGTGGTGTAGTGGTTAAGAGCGGTTGACTCGTAATCTGGTGAACTGGGTTCGCTTCCCCGCTCCTCCACATGCAGCTGCTGGGTGACCTTGGGCTAGTCACACTTCTCTGAAGTCTCCCAGCCCCACTCACCTAACAGAGTGTTTGTTGTGGGGGAGGAAGGGAAAGGAGAATGTTAGCCACTTTGAGACTCCTTCGGGTAGTGATAAAGTGGGATATCAAATCCAAACTACTACTCCTCCTCCTCCTCCTCCTCCTCCTCCTCCTCCTCTTCTTCTTCTTCTTCTTTTTCCTCTTCCTCTTCTTCCTCTTCTTCCTCTTCCTGCTTCCTTTGCCCTCAGTCCTCTGAACCAGTTTGAGTTATGCTGAGGTGAGTACAGTAGTACCTCGGGTTACATATGCTTCAGGTTACAGACGCTTCAGGTTACTGAAATACTACCTCGGGTTAAGAACTTTGTTCCAGGAAGAGAACAGAAATCGTGGTCTGGCGACACGGCAGCAGCAAGAGGCCTCATTAGCTAAAGTGGTGCTTCAGGTTAAGAACAGTTTCAGGTTAAGAACGGACCTCCAGAACGAATTAAGTTCATAACCAGAGGTACCACTGTAGTATGATAAGGCACCACTTTTCACTGAAGCATCACCCTCCATTGGCACCTCTTCAGCTCAGCACATGTTGCAACTCAATGCCTTGGCAGCCATCAAGGAGGCCTTTTTGCCAGAGTTTGTGATGAGCACCCCTGTGGTTGGAAAGAATCAACCAAATACCAAGGTATGCCTCTGCTCAAATGAAAGCAGGGAGCACTTGGGCAGCTCAAACAGGGGAATTGAAGAAAGACATGGAGGAGAAGGCTAATAATAATAATTTATATGCCACCCACCTGACTAGGTTACCCCAGGCACTCTGGGCGACTCCCAACAAAATATAGTAAAAACACAATACAACATCATACACTAAAACTTCTCTGAACAAGGCTGCCTTCAGATGTCTTTTAAAAGTCAGGTAGTTGTTTATTCCCTTGACATCTGATGGGAGGGCGTTCCACAGGGCAGGCGCCACTACCGAGAAGGCCCTCTGCCTGGTTCCCTGTAACTTCTCACAGTGAGGGAACCACTAGAAGGCCCTCAGAGCTGGACCTCAGTGTCTGGGCAGAACGATGGGGGTGGAGATGCTCCTTCAGGCATACAGGGCCGGAGCTGTTTCAGGCTTTAAAGGTCAGCTGGGGGCCACTGTAGTTCTTTTACGACTGATGATCTATGGTCCCGGTGGTTGCTTCCAGTCACCAGTCTAGCTGCCACATTCTGGATTAGCTGTAGGTTCCGAGTCACCTGCAAAGGTAACCCCACATAGAGCGCATTGCTGTAGTCCAAGTGGGAGATAACTAGAGCATGCACCACCCTGGTGAGACAGTCCGCGGGCAGGTAGGGTCTTAGCCTGCGTACCAGCTGGAGCTGGTAGACAGCTGCCCTGGACACAGAATTAACCTGCACCTCCATGGACAGCTGTGAGTCCAAAATGACTCCCAGGCTGTGCACCTGGTCCTTCAGGGGCACAGTTACCCCATTCAGGACCAGGGAATCTCCCCCACCCGCCTGCCCCCTATCCCCCAAAAACAGCACTTCTGTCTTGTCAGGATTCAACCTCAATCTGTTAGCCGCCATCCATCCTCCAACCGTCTCCAGGCACTCACACAGGACCTTCACCGCCTTCGCTGGTTCTGATTTAAAGGAGAGGTAGAGCTGGGTGTCATCTGCATACTGATGAACACCCAGCCCAAACCCCCTGATGATCTCTCCCAGCGGCTTCATATAGATATTAAAAAGCATGGGGAGAGGACGGAACCCTGAGGCACCCCACAAGTGAGAGCCCAGGGGTCTGAACACTCATCCCCCAACACCACTTTCTGGACACGGCCCAGGAGAAAGGAGCGGAACCACCGTATAACAGTGCCCCCAGCTCCCAGCCCCTCTAGACAGTCCAGAAGGATGTTATGGTCGATGGTGTCAAAGGCCGCTGAGAGATCCAGCAGAACTAGGAAATAGCTCTCACCTTTGTCCCTAGCCCGCCGGAGATACAGAACTGACCTGGTAGCCTTATGCCATGGCCAGGATCTGAGGCAGCAGGCTTCTGAAGCCCAGTCCCATAAGCAGCTGGTTGGCCACTGCAGAAAACAGGATGCTGGACTACAGATGGGCCTTTGGTCTGATCCAGCAGGGATTTCTCTATGTTCTTATGACAGCAAACAGATCAGATCAGATGTATTTTCACATGGGTTGTCTGCGTGATTTGATCCAGCGCAGGATCTCAAGTGGCGAGCTACATTCAGGATGAGGGAGGAGTGGGAGAAAAAATCAAAACATAAATAAACTAAAGTCCTTGCCTTTAATCAAAGCAGCAGGAAGAATCACTGTAGGTTTCAATCTACCACCTCATCGTGGTTAAAAGCTCCCCTCCTTTTTTTTTCCTTTTACCCTCCGCTCCCAATTGTACAGTGTTTCAATTTCTCACCAATCTGCTTTCCAAAAACCTTTGACACAAAAGTTCAATTTAGATTCCATGCACAGAAAACAAGCTGTTGCAAGAAATCTCCCCAGGTGGGCAAAGCTGAATAAGGACTTTCTTGCCATCCTCTGATGCCCCCCCCAATACACCCACAGACCTAAAGGTTTTTTTCCTTCTTCATCTGAATGCCAGGCTGTCTTGAAAGATTCTTACTTACAACTGCATCCCAGTGAGTTCCACAGGACCTGCGTAAAAGTAAATTCACTTAGGCTGCAGCCTAAAGATTTTGTTTTATTCTCACTGTAAAAGTCTGAGCCTTATTTTTAATAATAATAATAATAATAATAATAATAATAAGGCACATTAACTAGAATCTAAGGGGTTGAATGGTTTTCCCACTAGTGATGTTTGGAAGTGAGAGCTGGACCATAAAGAAGGCTGATCGCCGAAGAATTGATGCTTTTGAATTATGGTGCTGGAGGAGACTCTTGAGAGTCCCATGGACTGCAAGAAGATCAAACCTCTCCATTACTAAGGAAATCAGCCCTGAGTGCTCACTGGAAAGACCGATCCTGAAGCTGAGGCTCCAATACTTTGGCCACCTCATGAGAAGAGAAGACTCCCTGGAAAAGACCCTGATGTTAGGAAAGATGAAGGGCACAAGGAGAAGGGGACGACAGAGGACAAGATGGTTGGACAGTGTTCTCGAAGCTACCAGCATGAGTTTGACCAAACTGTGGGAGGCAGTGGAAGACAGGAGTGCCTGGCGTGCTGTGGTCCATGGGGTCACGAAGAGTCAGACACGACTAAACAACAACAAGGAGTTGAATTACCAGTTGCACTCAGAAGTATAGAACTGCAATCTTCAGTCACCTGGTCTAAATCAGGTGTGGAGAACTCCTTTGACCCAGGAGCTCAATGTTCATGTGCCATCAGATGCCACATGCCAACTGTAGTGGTTCTAGGGGTTGCTCGTGTGTAAGCCGGTGCAAACACCTGGCTGGGTTGCCTGAGTGAACCTTTTCTGTCCGGACAGCCACTCACCCGTGGCTGTCTCAATCGCTGGCAGAATCCGTCAGTGGGCGTTTCTTAAACTTCTTCCAGCAAAGAAGCTCTTTGACGCCTAGTCTCCTCCTACTCTCTCTGCGCGAAAGCCTTCTGCGCAAGGAGGGCGTAGGCAGCGGAGGACCCCTACTCTCCCCATTGGTCCCCGGCAAGGAGTCATGGGACCGCCTCGCCGCTTCCCCCATCTGCCCCCCTTCTCCACTGGTGCTACGCTGATTCTCTTCCCCAGAAGATGGGCTGCCTCTCCCAATCCCGGGACGCTCTCTGGAATCCCTCTGGATCTTGCTCTCTCCCTCCGGCACTGATGGCAGTTCCCTGACACCAACCTTTTCATTGAAACTACTGCTAAAATGGAGCGTTCCCCCTGCAAAGTGCTTCATGCTCTCAGAGCAAAGCATGCTCCCACTGCCCATCAGATGATAACTGATGGGAGTGTGCTTTGAGACAGCAAAGGAGCCTTCAGAACTCAAGCTCCCAGTTGTTACTCTCTAACCCTGTGAGAACCTGCCTCACACCTGATATTACAGATGGCATCAGGTATAGGGCAGGTGAGCATGGTTTGTGAGGAACGGCCTTGCAAGCCAAATTGGAACTCCCAATGGGCCAAATTTGGCCCACAGGCCGAAGGTTCTTCATCCTGGAATGGAATGGGTCTTGATAATATGGCACATTTTGCAATGCTGTCCTTGCCATACTGTCCTTGCTCTGTCTTCCCAAAGGTACATCACACAAAAGCATGTATTTTGGGGTGCCAGACAAGTTCTTAGACCTTAAAAACAGCTTTTTCAGGGTGAGATCTCAGTCGAAAATCACGTGAGATCAAAGCACCCAAAATGGCTGCCTTTGGTCTTGCTGGATATCTCATTTTTTTCCAGGGCAGTTAATAGGTATGGCTGATTTGACCTGACTCATCTAAGGCCTTCAACATATGCCCAGTTTGGCTTGGCCCTCAGTGCACGGTCCTACTAAATAGAAGAGAAGTAGAAAACACCTTGGTATTTCTCACACTGCTTTCTTGGAAACTAAATCAGCATCAGCCCAAGTGGCCTGGCTTAACTCGCCTGGAGAGCACCCATCAGCTGGTCTACATCAACATTTCCCTTTGTGTTGGCAGATGCAGGTTGAAACACTGTGTGAATCTTCTGCATTTCCAAAGAGTTACAGTCCTGGAGGGACTTTTAATTGTGCCATTATTCACTTTGAGTATGCTCTCAGTTGTAGCTTTTTATCTCTGGTATCATATATTGTTTAGTGAGTCAGAGGAACACTGTTTTGATGCTCAGAGATTGTGTGCTTGTTTGCTTCCATTTGGCTCACCAGCCACATTCCATAACCATAGGTAATTAGACCAGTGAAGGATAACCCACTGTTACACACACATGGATCCCTTTAAGCGTAATAGTGCTATCCTAACTGATCTAGTTGAGATTCCTGCATTGCACAGGGGTTTGACTAGATTATCCACAGGGTACCTCCCAATTCTACAGTTCTATGATTCTATAACCATGTCTACTTAAAATATACTCAGAGTCAAGGGTGGATTTCATGCTCTTTATTCAGCTCATAGTGGTGAGGAGGAATGGAAGTTCCCCCAGAATGTCTGCTTTATATACATTATTTACACAATGGGCCCCACGTGATTGGCTAATTCCGGGATTCACCTGTAGGCCAATCAGGTTGCGGATTCGCTTCCACCTGGAGCTGGATTGGGTGGCTCCTGTGGACCAATCAGACTGCTGCATTCTGAATATTGTTCTTGGACCAATCAGATTGCAGCATTCTGAATCCTATTTTTTTTAAAATGATATTTATTAAAGTTTCAATAAAAGATTAAACATAAAACATAAAAAATACACAATTCAAAAATACACAATACATAATCCAAAAGAAAAAAAAGGGAACAAAAAAAACACAAAAGACAAAAAAGAAAATAGAACAATTAAAAACAATATCACCTTTTCATCTCCATTTTTAAATTTACTTATTTTCTGGACCTCCTCATACCTCCCTCTTTTGTATTCCAGTTCAACTTGTTTGTCCAGCAATTTCTTTCCCTCTTTTTTAATCCCAATCTTTACTCTTAATATAATATAACATTAAAATTTTACCTTTTAAAAACCAAATTTCCATTTCCTTAAACTTTTTAAATCCTAATCCTTAATCTTAATCTATCCATAACTTTAAATCCTGAACAACTGGAAGCCATTTATTTTTAATCCAACATCACTCTAACATTCTTTAATTTTGCAATGTTTCTGCAGATAGTCTTTGAATTTCTTCCAATCTTCCTCCACCGACTTTTCTCCCTGGTCACGGATTCTACCAGTCATTTCCGCCAGTTCCATATAGTCCATCAGTTTCATCTGCCATTCCTCCAGTGTGGGAAGCTCTTGTGTCTTCCAATACTTTGCAATGAGTATTCTTGCTGCTGTTGTTGCATACATAAAGAAAGTTCTATCCTTTTTTATCACCATTTGGCCGACTATGCCCAGGAGAAAGGCCTCTGGTTTCTTGGGGAAGGTATATTTAAATACCTTTTTTAATTCATTTATATCATTTCCCAGAAAGCCTTAATCTTTGGGCATGTCCACCAAAGGTGAAAAAATGTACCTTCAGTTTCTTTACATTTCCAACATTTATTATCGGGCAAATGATAGATTTTTGCAAGCTTGACTGGAGTTATGTACCACCTGTATATCATTTTCATAATATTCTCTCTTCGGGCATTACATGCCGTAAATTTCATACCTGTGGTCCATAACTGTTCCCAGTCAGCGAACATAATGTTGTGTCCAACGTCTTGTGCCCATTTAATCATAGCCGATTTTACCGTTTCATCCTGAGTGTTCCATTTCAGCAGCAAGTTATACATTCTTGACAAATTCTTAGTTTTGGGTTCTAACAGTTCAGTTTCTAATTTTGATTTTTCCACCTGGAAGCCAATTTTCTTGTCCAATTTAAATGCCTCCATTATCTGAAAATAATGAAGCCAGTCTCGCACTTTGTTTTTTAGTTTTTCAAAACTCTGCAATTTCAGTCTATCTCCATCTTGTTCCAAAATTTCCCAATATTTCGGCCATTTGACCTCCATATTGAGCTTTTTCAAGGCTTTCGCTTCCATTGGTGACAGCCATCTTGGGGTTTTGTTTTCTAATAAATCCTTGTATCTTATCCATACATTAAACAACGCTTTCCTGACAATATGGTTTTTAAATGCTTTATGTGCTTTGACCTTATCATACCATAGATATGCATGCCATCCAAATACATTGTTAAAACCTTCTAGGTCCAAAATGTCAGTGTTTTCAAGAAGCAGCCATTCTTTCAACCAGCAAAAAGCTGCTGATTCATAGTAAAGTTTGAGGTCTGGCAGGGCAAATCCACCTCTTTCCTTTGCATCTGTTAGTATTTTAAATTTTATTCTGGGCTTCTTGCCCTGCCAGACGAATCTAGAAATATCTTTCTGCCACCTCTTGAAACAGTCCATTTTGTCCACACTGAATCCTATTGTTTTAAGACCAATCAGACTGCTGCCTTTTGGATCCTATTCAACTCAGTACATGTTGTTGTTGTGGTTTAGTCGTTTAGTCGTGTCCGACTCTTCATGACCCCATGAACCAGAGCACGCCAGGCACTCCTGTCTTCCACTGCCTCCCGCAGTTTGGTCAAAAACTCAGTACATAACACTACTCGAAACCAAGGATGGAGGAGGAATTCAATTCAGCTTGCAGTTAAAGGCAAACCTCTCCAATCCTCTCTGGATTTCTCTGGGAGGAAAACCTTTCATTGCCTACAGAAAGCCACCTAATCTTAACAGCTCCTCACACACAATAATACAACAACCAGACTTAACATGGACACTGGCACAAGAGCCTGCAATAAAACTAGATGCCAACTTTGCTGCCACATACACCCAGACAACATCATTATTGGCCCCCACAACTTCAAACATACAATCTTTGGCCTGTTTAATTGTTCATCTTCCAACATTATATATGCTATCAAATGCCAACAGTGCCCTTCCTCTTTCTATATTGGACAAACAGGACAAACTTTACACCAAAGGATAAATGGGCATAAATCTGACATCAGGAATCATAAAACAGAGAAACCAATAGGAGAACACTTCAATCTCCCAGGACATTCTATATAAGATCTTAAAGTAGCTGTCTATTGCAAAAGAATTTGAGAAATACGTTTGAAAGAGAAGTTGCTGAATTGCAGCTCATTACCAAACTAAAAACTATGGAGAGACCTGGTCTGAATTGAGACATTGGATTCATGTCCCATTATACATACTAAAGCTAATTTTGATCATCCATCCCTTTATAAATCCCTTGCCCTTCCCTGTTGAACCAACTGCCATAACAGTCATCAACAGTTATAAGGTTGAAGCGACCTCTGCTTCAGAGTGTATTACACACGAAAGCTCATACCTAGAAAGCTTATATTTAGTTGATCTTAAAGGTGCCACTGGAATTATTAAAAAAGGTTTTTTTCATCTTTCATCCTGTTATTTATTATGACTACGACAGATCAATTCTCCAATCCTCACTTTCCAAACAATACAGCAGTGGGGGAGAGGCATCCTTCAAAATTCAAGTTACTTTTTTTTAATGAGAAGATCAGTCATTTCACATTTGAGTTCAGAAATCATACGCATGAAGAGATGCTCACACAATTTCCAGGGATCACTTGAGGTTCCTCAGCCTCATAGCCCTGGGGCTTCTCCAACATCCACAATTTTTTTTTATTGTTTGTTGATTATTTGTACTTATAGCCTGCCCTTCACTTTCAGGGTGGCTTACAAAAAAACGTCACTGAGAAACAAGTACAGATTGCCAAAATCATCAAATATAACCACAAATTAGGTAATAAATATCAAAGTCCACAAGACAGCAGGGCAGTAGTGCAAGAGGAGAGAAGATACCCACTCAGTCAGAGGCATGGGGTAAAGGTTGCATCCTGAACAATTGTCAAAGAGCATGATGGCAAAAGATGCACTTTGTAGGGAAGTCATTCCACAAACGGGGCCACCCCCTATAAGGCCATGTCACATGCCCTCTTGGTACTTCCTCCACTGGGGTGGGGGGTAGCAGCCTTTGGGAGGACATTTTCTCTGATGGTTTCGAAGCTGTGGAACTCCCTCTTCACAGAGGTGTGCCTGGCACCTTCATTATACAGCTTTGGGAAAATGTTTAAGATTCACCACTCTACCCTGGCTTTTCACACTAGTGGTGCATCTGTTTAAGGCCCACCTAATGGCTGCAAGTTGTTTCGAACTGTTTTTAATGTTGTGTTTCAATGTTGTAACCCACCCTGGGAACTTGAGATTGAAGGGTGGGTATTAAATAGATAAATAATGCCACCAGTCCTTGAACCACAGACCGCAGTCGTAGACGCTGTCAGGAGCAATGCCTAAGGGTCGAATTCAGTGTAGTGCTAAGGAGATTGCTCCATCAGAAAAACATTTCTGCTTGCCTGATAGAACGTTCTCACAATCTTTTCGCTGCCCATGCTGTTCTGGCCATCCTCCTAGTCCTTCTGCGCAGATTTGGGGAGGGGGTGGGAAGTGTGGGCAGAAGAGCAGGGAGTCCGGTTATGCTAGTGGAAACTGTTGCACCTTCTCCTGCTAGCACAACGATTTAATTGAACACGACCCCAAGTGTGTAGAAATGTGGAACAATAGAATTTTAGAGCTGCACTGAACATAAGATTTAGTTTGGATTCCATTCGGGGTTTCAGAAAACAACTCACCTTGGTCCCGGGTGCTATATATGCTGCCCAATTCAATTTGGCATCCATCTTGAGCCCACTTCATTTCTCTTTCCTGCCCCGCTCCCATTCACTATTGGGAAATATAAAAATGGCTATAACATTTCCCCCCTTTTGACAGAAGTAGGTGAAATTTGCAGGCATATTATCCCCTATAGAATAGATAAAGGCTGCCGAGCTGCAGGAAAATACATACAATGTCTCCCGGGCTCGACACCTTTAAAGTTTTTGGTCCCCCCCCCCCAAGTTTGTGACTATATAATATATAGTGGTCTATGCTCAGCTAAACTTTCTGCAGTACATTACTTTGCCTGATTGCTCCCCATCTCAAACAAACATCGTTGACAACAAAATATTGCTCTAGAAAGGAAAAGCGCTATGGGAAGTGTGCAAGAAATCAGGTGAACTATGTCAGAGCAGGGCTCCTTTTTAAAAAGAAAGAAAGAAGAAAAATCAGTAGTGCAACAACTTTCACTAGATAATGCATGGTTAGATTACACCAAGAATAGAAATGTAGGTTACAAATAGTGTTGTTTTGGTGTTATATTCATTATTTTTTAAATTAAAGTTATATCTCCTTTTTAATTTTTTGAAGTTGTGTCCATTTTGTTACACTGATTTGTCACATTCACTTCAGTGCTTGCATACATTAATTTATTTATTTTCCTATCTCGGTGTGGTTTGTTTCCTGGGTTTTAAAACATATTTTTAAAATTGTTGCTACCTGCAGCTTTGGTGGCTGGAGAACCAATTCCTGTATCCACTCCCAGAAGCTGCCACTTTATTTTCCCAGAATGTTCCAGGGGTTCCGATGTTCTAGGCATTAAAAAGTGGCAGCTACCACAAAAAAAGTGTGGGCCCCATGGGTGAAGCCATTAGTTGTAGTTGTAGTAGTAGAAGAAAAAGGTATATTCACATCCCACCTTTTTTCCAGGCCGGGACTCAAGGTGGCTTATAAAAAAAA